AATGAAGGGTTATTATGAATTTAATGGAAAAGTTAAGGTGAATTATAGAAAGAATTCATAATTAATGGCTTGATTATGAGATTAATAAAAGTTGAAGGATGAATGATGAAAATACGATTTATCTTGATATCAATTTTATTTTTATAGACTTTAATTTTATTAAATTTAGATTATGTTAGTTCGATACTAACATATAGTTGAATATATTATGTTATTATATGACGTTGTCAGATCATGGTAAACTTAGCGATCCGAGCGATCCGAAAGGAAAGCAAAAAGTACACGAGTAAAGAATTAGTATATTAAGGTTCAATAGTGAGACTAAGGTGAGTACATTTTATTTATTTAATTATTATGACCGATGACTACTTGCGATACATCAACCTCATTTTATTTTCAAGTATGATTTATAACTTTTAATTATGGATAATTTCTATAATTTTGTAATAAGTTTTATGAGTGATTTAGGGTATGAACTGCCCAAATATGATTTTTATGATGATGAATTTTGTAAGGTTTATGATTTTCAAACATTGATTAATTAGTGATTCAATTATGATATATAAGCTCATTGTATGTTGCATTGAGAGTCGTAGATACATTTGTCATGACATTAAGTTGAGTACTTTCCAGTTAAGTTATAGTACATTCATGTACATTATGATCTGCATCGTTGGTGCTCATGTTATTATTGCACTTGGAGTGCATTATATGTTTCAGTTAAGATTGGCACTTTGATGTGCTCAGTGTGCACCTTATGTCCTACTCACGTACCTTGTGTTCTCATAAATATGCATTGGGCTATGAAAATGAATATGAAAGTTATGAATGATGTCAAGTTAATAGAAAGCATGATATGGTTATTTTATATGATATTATTTATCAGGGTCTTTATGAAATCATGAATTAAGATGAATTTCAAGTTACGATGAAGAAATTGGCTTGAATAAATCAGTTTGCAAGTTTAATGTTTTATTTAAATTATTTTATTTATATTTATGATATTTTCATGTTTTATCTCACCTTAGCTTATTACTGCCTAACTAATTTATACTTAGCGCGTGATGATTTTCATGCATAGGTTCTGATAGACATAAGGACGAGTAGTGAGGAGCCTCTCAAGCATCTTTTTGGAAGTTATATCTATCATTAATATCAGTAAGACATCTACGATGTTACTTTTAACTTTTAGTGACATGTATAATATGTTATTAGTTTTATTTATCATATTTGCTTTTAAATGGTATGTAATAGTAAACTAGGATTGTTTTATTTTGTCTAGACTAGTGTTATCAGTATTATGCATGGGTAGAATAGTTAGCAGAATTCAGGCAGTTCTAAATGATTTACGAAAAATACACTAAACTGTCTAATCTTTGCTTGAAAAATGGATTTGTTTTCTAGGACAAACCATTAATTAATAATTATATGCTTTTAAGGAAATATATTTAAAGTTTAAAATATGAGTATTTTAAAACGAAACAAAATTTTAAGCATTTATGCTCAGTGAACGTTTGTCAAGTTGATGTGACATGTATGGCTTGTATTTCGAGACGTATACGGGTTATGGGTATTACAAGGCCAATATTGATACTATCATGCCCAGTATTGGTACCCTCATATTGGTTTGGGTAGAAAACTCAACTTGTCTCAAGTATTTGGAAAGGTGGTTAAAGAGGCACCAAGACTTCTTTAATAAGACTACAAGTGAGAACATTAATAATAATCGTTACAACGACAACGATGAATTAAAGTGGCATAAGACTAGCATTTGATTGACACTCGGGAAATGACACAGACACTAGAGCCACTTGAGTGTATGCATGTTCGATTTATGATTGAGAGTTGAGATTTTCGGATTTTCTCCTATCAGTGCCAAGGCACTTTAATATCAGTGTAATCGCACTTCCGTACCAATACCGAGGAAATTTAGTATTAGTGCTAAGGCACTTCTGTTATACAATAACAAGGCCATGTTACGCGTATGTACTCATACTTTATGTTTAAGCCTAATACTTTGCTATGAACTATGCTCGATGCATTGCGTTGCAGTATGAGCTCACTTGTTAGCATTCATAAATAATGGATGCATGTAGTATAGTAGAGTTATTTAATTAAGTGGCACTGAGCTCATAGCTCAAAGTTCAGAATTGTTTCCGTTCACAAGTTAGTAGGTGCCTATCCATAAGCTTATCTCTAGATTTAGGAGTTCAGATAGTAAGCCATAGAGTTCGTCTTGGATTATTTTAGTGGGCACGTATTTCATAAACCCTCTTATATAAACTAAGTCATAACTCTTTCGATAACTTGTTTATATTTGAGATTTATTTTAAGAGCTCCCTCGATTTATAAACTATATTATTTTGTTTAATTTTAGAATATCAAAGGATGACTTAAATTGTAAAATTGAAATGTTTTAAAAAGAAAAGTTTTAGGTTAGCCAATATAGTAGTCCCGTGTAATATCCAAACCCACCAAACATCATGTCCGATCTGAATTGGGTGTTACATAATCGACTGAAAAGGAAGCCCCACACGCAATATAGGAGCGTGACAGCACGTACGAAGATGACATGGGTTGTTGAGGTTGGCCGATCACTTTACTAGTATCCACTCACCAAAATTACCTGAGATCAACCCATAACAAGTCAAAAGGAAGGCAAAACGAACAGAAAATGAAGATTGGAGCTTACCCGCTGTGAATCGGAGAAACATCGACGATGAAACATCCCATCAGTTGTGTTCTAGTCGCAAGATGTCAGGAAGTCCAGTGGTGGGGATGGTGAGGCAAATGGATGGTCATTACAAAAATAGCATCGATGGAATTTTTTTTTGATAAACCTTCGATCGATCTTCCACGATGAACGACGGGGAGTTTCAACGAACAACCACTAGGATTTTGATTAGGACAATATGATGCTTCTTTTGGTGGGGGTGGTGACATTCATTGTTCAACGGCGACGGGGATCAGCTCGGGTTTCAAAGTTTCTTTCTCGAATTGGGATGAATGACAGGATTCTCAGGGTAGCTGGCAATTAGGGTTTACTTGTGAGGTGACGTCGAAGCTGCTAATGATGACAGTGAACTCTATCGTTGGCCAGAGTTGGGTCTTCGACGATGGCACAATTTGGGAAAAATATTTTTTTTGAATTTTTTTTGAATTTTTTTTGGGTTAGGAAATATTTTTAGGGAAGGTTAAGTTACCCAAAACCCATCTATAATCATTTACTATATATTTTTCCATATCTCAATAGTTATAGTGACTTAGCCAAGATGGCTAAATAATTGGGAAAAGGGTTTAGAGGTTACGGGTTTAAAATCGTTTGTCCGTACAATTTGATTTTTATTTTTAGACGCCAAAGGAAAAATGGGTAAATCAAGGTTCAAGTCCCTAAACTTTCTTAAGAACTTGAAGACTAACCTATTATTTCAAAAACTCGTAATTTAGTCCTCAATTTAATTTACTTTAATCTAATAATTAAACCTTAATATTTTTAGGGTATGAGATGTTTCAAGTTATTCCCTTCCCTCATCAAATACCTAATCTCTCCGTGTAAAATAAACTTATAGAGCACGAATCAGCAGACCTAAGTGGTTAAGGGATTTGTTGTTATCTCTTGGGTTTCGAGTTCGAGTATCATATATGTAGAGATATGAACGTTCATTGTCAAATAGTTGAGAGTCTTTGAACATATAATATCTTATATTCTACCCATATTTATAAAAAAAAACTTATAGAGCACGAATCAAGCAACTTCAGTGGTTAAAAGAATGGTTGAAATCTCTAGAAGTCTCGAGTTTATGGACAATGTCTGTATGGGTGCTTGAGCGTTCATTATCAAATGATTTGAGACTTTTGAATAAATACTACTTTATTGTCATCCCACACTAATAAAAAAAGATTTAATTGCGTCACATATTCCCAACCTATAATTCTATTTTTAAATTGGTCCTTAAACTATTGAATATTCTAATTTAATCCCTAAACTATGACACTCAGTCTAAATTAGTCCTTAAACTTTTGAACATTCTAATTTCATCCCTAAACTAGGACCCTCTTTCTATATTAGTCCCCAAACTTTTGAATATTCCAATTTTATCCCCAAATTCATCCAAATATATAATTAGTTTCAACCATAATTTAACCTAATTTTTTTTCCAAACATATAATAATATAACATGGCATAACAATTTTATTAACAAGAGGTGATTAGAGTATGCATATAGTAAGTGATGAAATTGGAATGTTCAAAATGTTTGGGGGCCAATTTATAATGAATGTCATAGTTTGGGGATGAAATTGGAATGTTCAAAAGTTTAAGGATTAATTTAAAATGATAGTCATAGTTTATGGGAGAAATTAAAATATTTAAAATTTTAGAGATCAATTTAAAATAAAAATTATACTTTGAGGGCATATGATGCAATTAACTCTAAAAAATAAAGAAACTTGTGGGGGCTGGTGTTAACCGTTGTGAAATTAACCACCTTTTTGGTCACATGCTTAGCACTAGCGATGCCATCCTATAAATGGAGCCCCTACCAATTTTTCTAATTTTCAACCATACATTTCATTTCATAGAATTTAAGCAAACCCCACTAATTAATTAAATGATTAATCAACTTTATTCTTGTCGTATTATGTCAATTCTTTGTATAATTAGCTTGATTTAATTTTGTTTTTGTATTAAGTCTTAATGTCAAACAATTGGGTCTTTTGGATCTTTTCAACTGATATGATACTAATTTGATTATCAATTTTTTAGTAATCAATCATTCATATGGATATAGGTAAGAAATGTTAGAAATTTTATGAGTAGAGGAGAAAACAACATGAAATTACATAGAGGAGATAAAATTTAATGTGATTTAATTATATTTATTTCAAGGAATGAAACAAATAACACTTTATTATAAACTTTTTTTTTATTAACATGAGATAAGTACAGGACAATATTTTTTTTAAAGATAAACTCTTAACCTTTTGACATTAAATGATCACACCCTTGGCATCTATGGTGCTCGAACTCGGGTCCCCAAGGAATAACAACAATTCATTTATCACGGAGGTCACTCGGTTCGAGCCAATTTATTATAAACTTAAATTCATCTATGTAAATAAATGGGTAGTTTTAAGACGGTATATAGAAGTTAATGTTGTGGTTGTTTTGTTAAATAGGAAAATTCTACAGCGCTCGATAAGTACTGATGGACACCATTAATTTAATTTATAAAATTTAAAATTCTAAATGATTTAACGTATAATTATAAATTAGTTAAAAATTAAAAGGTAAATTATTTGATTAAAGGGTAAATTATACTAGTGCCTACCTAACTATTACCCCTTTTCATTTTTATCACCATTTTTGAAATTTTATAGAAATTTGGGTATTTTTTTTAATAACTTTCAAGTTTTTTAAACAAAATTTTCAAAATTATCATATCATTAACCCATGTCTTTTAACTATAGAATTTAACGACCATCTAAAGTGGTAAGATTTGAAACTTATGAATCGAAAAAAAAAAGTTTAGGTTAGAAAGAATAGTATAAATTAGGTACTTATTTTCTAATTCAGCATATATATATATATATATATATATATATATCCTTTGCAGGAGTATTTTACATTATCACAACTGTTATGGGTACATAAAAATTAAAAACTTAAAATTTTATGATTACAATATTTTAAAAATAATTTAACCAATTTGTGTTATGTAAAATAAAAGAACATTATTTTGAGAGTTAAATCAAAATTAAACATTTTTTAATATTTTTTATTTTCAGATAAAAACGATTAAAATAATGCATTTAAGAGAAGAGGTTACTCGGGGGGAGAGATGGAATGATAATATGAAGAATTAATTAAAAAAAAGGAGAAAAAAAATGGTGACACTTGGCATTTAAGTGAATAAAAAAGCATCAGTGGCCAGTCGGCGGAGGAGCCGAGCTAGAGCTAGCGGCACCGGAACCAGATAACAGATCGGCGAGGGCGCTCATGGCTCGAACCTGCATCTCGAGAGCCGCTATGTAGTCAGTCGCTTCTTCAAGAATTACCGGTAACGGTTCCTTGCGGCAACCGGGAACCAATCTGCCAAGAACCTTTACTTTCCTTTGAACGGTCGGCACACTCTTCGCTTTCAATTTCAAAACGCTAACTCTCGGTTTCCTCGACCGGCTGGTCCTGGTCACGGCAGCCACGGCAGCGGCGGTGGATCCTCCGTGCGCCGATCTCTTCTGCTTCCGAAATTTCAGCTTAAGCCGGCTCGTCAAAATGGCGCGGCTCCACCTCGTCCTCCCTCTAGCAGCGACGGCCAAGGCCCTATAGGCGGCTTCACGGACGGCGCGACCGCCGCGCGGAGCCGTAGGGGAATTAGGATTAGTAGTACCATTGAGATTGATTTGGCTCAAGGCTTGGAGAAGCTTCGAGGAATAGATTTGCTGCTGCGCCTCTGATTTCCAAGCGGCGTGAGTCGGCTCGTGGCGTTGATTTTCTTTCATCATCGAGTTCTTCTTCTTTTTCCTTTTGATACGATCAAAATTTGTCGTGTTCGCCACTGGATTCGTCATCAACGACGCCATGTCTCACCGGACCAAACGCCCTTATTCACCGTACGATACGGTCAATTATAATCGAAACTGATGAAAAAGGAATTTATGATTCTAGAAAGGGAAAAAAAGATTCTAACCGAAATTCTGCGAAGAAAAGAGAGAATTTGTTACCGATGTGATGAACACAAGTGGAATTGGGAGCAAGAGGAGAACGGAACGGAACGGCGTTTGATTGATTAGAGAAGGGTGGGGTGGTTATAAGGCCAAAACCAGGAATGGGAGGAGAGCACGCGTCGAATTTACTTGGGAGGGCTTCGGCTTTGTTATTTATTGCTTTTGGGGGTTTAGTTTGTGTGGGTGCGACCTTTTGAAACGTGTGAGGGTCGGTCCGGTTGAGCCGATTGGGGTTCACCTTCTTATCCACCTCAACACATTCATTTTTAGGGTAAAGTACACGTTTAGTACCTAAACTATCAATTTTAGTCTGTTTTAGTACCTAAATTTTAATTTTTTCAAAATCATACTTAATATTTAGTTTTTGTTTCATTTTGGTACCCTTATTCAAAATTTAACGTTAATTTTTTGAATTTTTTTTTAAAAGTTTAGGTATTAAAACGAACTAAAATTGATAGTTTAAATATTAAACACATTAAATTTTTAACCGCGGGTACTAAAATGAAACAAAAACTAAATATTAAGTATGATTTTGAAAAAATTTAAAGGTTAGATTCTAAAACAAGTCAAAATTGTTTAGATACTAAATGTATAGTTTACCCTTTTTTTATGATGAAGCCACCCTTGTATCATCCATCACCCCCTCCAAAAAAAAAAAAAAGCTTTGTATTATGATGTGAATGTTTTTAATTTATTAAAGTGGTCTCAAGGATAAAATATAATTATTTTTTTAAGAGGTTCTACGTTTGAGCAATTATTTGTGCAAAATATGTATGTATTATCATTAAATAAAGAAAATTCTAAATATATATTATACACGCACTATTAAAATAAATTGTGAAGTTATTTCATTATATTTATTTAAATTTCACCAAGATTGTTTTGTATTTAATATATTCCTAATTTTATTATTTCATAATAGAATAAATGATAATTAAAAGTGATTGAATAAGTTAAAAAAACAAGGGTAATTTACATGTTTAATACCTAAACTATCAATTTTGGTCTGTTTTAATACCTAAACTTTCAATTTTTTCAAAATCATACCTAAAATTTAGTTTTATTTCATTTTAGTACCTATTTTCAAAAGTTAACGTTAAGTTTTGAATTTTTTTTGAAAGTTTAGATACTAAAACGGATAAAAACTGATAGTTTATGTATTAAACGTGTTAAGTTTTTAACAACGAGGTACTAAAATGAAACAAAAACTAAACTTTAGGTGTAATTTTGAAAAGAATTAAAAGTTTATTGCTAAAACGGATCAAAACTGACAATTTGTGTATTAAATGCATAATTTACCCAAAAACAATTAAAGATTCATAGTTAATCATTATTATTATTTTTATAGTAAACATAGTGGTATAAATATAGGATGATCTCATGACTATAAAATAATATTTTATTAAATCTCTTGATTATTAAAAGTTACAAAATGATCCCTCGACTATAGGGAGTTAGGAATGGCAACGGGTCGGGTTCGGGGCGGGTTTTGCTCGCCCCGTCCCCGAACCCGAAATGAAATCCCATCCCCGAACCCGACCCGATCCCCGACGGGTTTTTTATCGAGGCGCCCCGTCGGGGATTTTTTTTGCCCCGTCCCCGAACCCAACCCGAAATATTATACCCAAACCCGAACCCGAACCCGAAAATATTTTATATATAATTAATATAAAAAATATAAAAAATTATATATATAATTAATATAAAAAATAAAAAATATTATATATATATATATAATCGGGTCGGGTCGGGGCGGGGATACCTTGCCCCGAACCCGAACCCCACCCGATAAAATCCCCGAAAAAAATCTCCGAAACCCGACCCGACCCGAAATTATTCAACCCGACCCGACCCGAACTTGATCGGGTTTCGGATTTCCCCGTCGGGTTCGGGTCATTTTGCCATCCCTATAGGGAGTTTCTTTATTGAGTCCCTCGTCTATTAAAAGTTACAAAATGGTCACTCGACTATTCATTATGTTCCAAATTCATCTTTTTCCTTTAAAAAATCAACAACTGTATGAGTTGGACATTAACATGTTGATTGAGATATGATAGTCATTTGATATTATGAGATAAGATTTTATCATATCTTAGTCAAGGACGTTAACGTACAACTCAAATTGCCGTCAAAATTTTAATGGAAAAGGACGAGTTTGGAACATAATTAATAGTCGGGTGACCATTTTTAAACTTTTAATAATCAAGGTACTCAATAAAGTATCATCTTATAGTTAGAGGACCAATTGTGTACTTTAACCTACAATATATAGGGGGATTAGAGAACCCAAAATCTTTAAAGGGTTAAGACTCCTTTTTGTTGAGGGAAAATATCTCACATCTCTAAACTCATAAAATACCGATGGTATTGCAATTAGTGAAAGTTTTAGTGGGTATTATTATAAATAAAAATAAATTTAAGATATTGTTATAGGTACATTAAAATTATATGTTAGTTAGATATTTTGAATACATGAAACTTTTTAGATTTATTAAAATTAAAAATATTTTTTATTTTGTTTAGCTATTTGTTATAGGGTAATTATTCAGTTTATTGATAGCTAGAGTTTTTAATTTTATAAGTATAATTATATGTTTTTATTTAATATCATTTGTTTTTTTTTTTCTAAAATACTCTTATTTATAAAAAAAAATAGTGTTTTAAATAAACATATTTTTTCAATTAATTCAGTTGTCCATATTTATTTATTTTTCATATTTTTTTTATATCATAGATTCTAAATCTACTAAATTTTTTTATTTATTCCCCTTGACTTTTTGTTGCTTTTATCTCTACGTAAAAATATATTAGAATTAAAATTTTTAAAAATAGAATTTAAAAAGTAGGGATGGTCACGGGACAGACAGGTCGGGGTTTCGGTCTTTCCGACCCCGACCAGAAAACATATACCTAAAATTCGATCTCGTCCTGCCCCAATTTTTTTTATCTTTTTCTCGTCCCTGACCCGCCCCGAATATATTAATTTTTTAAATAACTGAAATTATATATTTTAATAGTATAAAATAATTTCTTAAAATATTATATATATATATATATATATATATATATATATATATATATATATATATATAGGTCAGGTCGGGTAGGTAATTTTTCACCTAAAACCCTCCCGAAATTTTATATAATATTAATCCGTCCTGTCCCGCATCGAATCTCAAAATTTAAAAAAATCACTCCTATAAAATCAGATCGAATGAGAACCCGTTAAATTCGAATATTTTAATCATCCTACTAAAAAAGCCGACTTTCCATCAAGATTTACATAAAACAGGAAGCAATTTGACACAATTTCAGTGTTCCATGATACCAAGATATCAAAATTAGCAAGGGAAAGAACAGAAGGAAAGCACAGTGACGTGTCCATGTGCAATTGGACATATATGCGGTGTTGGCTTCCACTAACTGACCCGAGACCAGGTCCCGTTAAAAAAAAATTGTATTCACTCAGTGCAATGATTATTCATAAAAAAAGGTACTATATTATATCAAAGTTATGAAATTGTCATTATGACAAGCCTAAAATTTTAATAAATATAATAATCATTTGTAAAGTTTAATGATTTTAAAAGATCATTTATGTATAACTTAGGGCCCTATTATGTAATTTACCCAAAATGAAAAGAAAAGAAAAGAAAAGACTAAGAGTAAGAGGAGAGAAAAGAATGCATGTGCAACGTGGGTTGTTTGTTTCTCTCGCACTTTACTATCTTGGGCATTGTTTTGTATTTTTGTTGGGAAAAGTGGAGAGGTTTTGGAATTTTCCCCACTTTTTGTGGTGTAGACAGTTATGGTCCACATTTCATGCGATTAAGGGTGTGAAATAGATCCGATTCCATCGATTTGATCTGTTGATTTAATATAAAAATTTAGATATCTGATCTGTTTTTTAATTTTTCAATAATTTGGATGAGATATTCAAAAAAAATTTAGATAATCGAATTAAATCAAATTCGATATTCGAATTTACACACCCCTACCGCCGTTATAGCCCCTCCATTTTCTTCTCTAGTCACTAGTGCTAAACATGATTTGTTGGGATTAAAAAGAAAGCACACACACTGATCCCATCACTTCTTAACATGGCCTCCACTAATTAACCCAAAAGGAATCTTTTGTGCTTTTTATCACCATTTTCATCATTTTTACCTGCCCAAATAGCACTCCCATACTCCCTATGTTACGTACATTTCCAGCTGTATATTATATTTCCTTTCTCCCATTAAACCTATCGACTGTTAACTTTTTTAGTCATTTTTTTTAATTTTGATTCAATATTATTTAAAATTTATTATTAATAAAAATATATATTTTAAAAACCTTAAATCAAATAATTTTCAAATATATATTTTATAAAATTTAATTATTTAAAATATCTAAAATAATCATGGCTAATGTTTAAAAATTTTGACTTTTTAAAAGTCAAGAATGAACATATTTAATGGGACAAAATAAATATATAATTTAAATAAAATTATTTTCTCAATCAATATATAATTTATAGGGGGTGTATTCGGTTCGGTTCGTTTTTTTACTAAAAATTGAACCGAACCGAAATAAACGGTTTTTTCAAATTTAAACCGAAACTGAATGGTTAAAATCGAATTATGTGAAATCGGTTTTTTCGGTTCGGTTCGGTTTGCTAATGCGATTTTTTCGGTTCGATTTGGTTTGTCGGTTTTTCAACGAAAAATTCACTTGAAACTATAAATTAAAAAAATTGTATATTTAGTTCAATATGAAACAAATGAGTTCCATATAGAAAACCCAAACCGAACTGAATCAATAAGATTGATTCTTTAAATCAACCCAAAATCGAACTGTTTAAAGGTAAACCTGAACCGAATCATTTTACTCGGTTCGTGTTAATTTTTGATTTTCTCAATTTCGTTGCTTAGTCCTAATAATTTATGCATAGCTGACCTTAGATTATGAAAAGATATTGTCTAGGACCTTGGTTACAAAGCTCTAGTCCCCCACCTACAAATGCTCAATAAGATTATTATTTTAATATTAAAGACAGCAACTAGCATGTTTGTCGAATCTTTTGCTTTTTTATTATTATTAATATTCATATTTAATATATATATATTCCAAACACATTTAAATATATAAAAATAATGATAC